TCCACTCACTCACTCGCTCTCTCACTCACCTCTTCCTGTCTCTGACCCACTCACTCAGCCTCCCAACCAGTCAGACTGTCTGCCTGCCTTGCCTCAGGCCAACTCCTCTCTCTCTCTCTCTCTCTCTACTCTCCTCTCCACCATCCACCTCACTCTACCTCCACACACTCCACCTCTCCTCAACCCAATCCCACCCACCCCTTTCCACATCTTCCATTATTAACGCATCTGCTGATTAAGTGAAGGAAGACGGTGACTCACCGATTGCCTGTTTCTCTACCAGTCTCCATCCATGCCTTCTTCCCTTCTCCTCTCCCTTTCACCCTCTTTCACTTCCTCTTCTCCACCTCCTCATTTCGTACTTCGTCCTCATATCCACTTATGACGCTGTGCATGCTCCTATCTGTGTGCGTGTGTGTGTGCTCTACCCATTCCATCCTCACGCCTCCTTCCCATCATCACCTCTCCCAACGGCCCTCGTTCTCCACTGCCTCCAACTCACCCCTTCCTTCTCCCATTACCCCATTTCGTCACCCCCTCCTACTTCACCCACACCACTTGCGTCCACACCTTCACTCCTCTTCACTTTTGTACAATCCCAACACTCATTCACCACCAACTCCTCATGTTCTCCATCCTCATCCCTACACGCATGGTGATTTCGCCACCACGCGATTTGCGGTATTTTGCCCTCCCTCCCTCCCTCCCTCCCTCCTCATCAACCTCCTCCTGTCTGTCTGTCTGTGTCGCCTCAGCCTCACTCCTGCTCCTTCTCCCCTTGTCCGTTTTGGCGATTTGCATTACCTGCCTCGTCCTCCACCTCTCTCCGTCGTCCTGTCACACCTCACACCACCAACACCACCGCCACCGCCACTACTACCGCCTTCTACACACATACACACACACACTCACACACACAAACATCAACAAGCGCTGTATGCGAACAAAATGAGGGAGAAAAAGAGGGTGGTGAGAAGGGGAGGGACGAGTACACCTCCTCCTCCTCCCCACCCACCACACATCACTCCCACCACCTCGTCGTGTACATGACCACCACTGCTTCCACTTCGCCTTCACTCCCGATGACACCTACACAGGATGTTGGCACAGTCACTGCGAAGACGTCTCACATCCCCTCTACTCCACTCCTCCCACCAACTATTCCATCTTGACTGCATCATCACCTCCACTCTCACCATCACCCTCGTCCTCGTCCTCGTCCTCGTCCTCGTCTTCGTCTCCTCTCACCACTCTTTCTTCGAGGCGCCAATGTCTGTGCGGAAGTGCACGTTTGGTGCATTGTAGAAGCACAAGTGCAGTTGACAGTGCAAGTGATGGGACGAA